TTCCACAACCTCCTAAAATGCTGTTGGATTAAGTTCCAATCAAGTTCTGGATTACTGAAAGATAACACAAATCTACTTAAACCATGAATAACCTTAGCTGGGAGTGTAATCTGGATATATTGGGTCTTATTTCCCTTAAGCGATCCATTAACCTTTTAATTCCATTTTTCTACAAACTTCTTGAAACTCCCTTGTCATTTTTACCACACTGCTTTTAAATAATGACATTCTTTTGTTCCTAAAAATTATTTCACATAAAAAGAAAAGCAACTATATTTAAGTTACCTCCATACTGCTCTTTGTAGGACACGCTGTTCTTTTCGGCAAAAGAGTTTTTCTACGAAGTTGGTATGGACTATTTTGTGCACCAGGACCTGATTCTTCTGCAACCATATCTGCAGGTACATCATCATCTGTTATAAACAAAAGCAATAAGAAATATGACATCTATTTTTTATATATATAAAAAAAAGCTCTACAGATGAAGTAATTAATATTTTTTCAAATCACCTTTTTTTTTTTTTCCAAAAAAAGATAAAACTGTTATAAAAATTTCCAGTCAACTAGATAGAAAGCAAGGTTATGGATCGAATTGTGTTTCTCCCAAAATATGTGTTATAAATCCCAACCTCTATGATTGTGATTGGAGTGGTAGTGTGGCATTGTAGGATAAGCACTGGACTGCTAACTGCAAGGTCAGCAGTTCAAACCCACCAGTCACTACTCAGAAACCCTATAGAGTTTCATTATGAGTTGGAACCCACTAGATGGCACTTAACAACAAAGCCTGTGGTTATATTTGGGGATGAGTTGCCTTTGTTATGTTAATGAGACATGATCAATTTAGGGTATGTCGTTGAATTAATCTCTTTTGAGATATATAAGAGATTAAATGGGGGAAGAGAGATGGCAAGTTACATGAAGATTGTCCAAGAGCAACTTGGAAAGATAAGGACTTTCCTCCAGAGGAGGGATACGGGGGAGGGAGAGAGAGAGAGGGAG